CAATGCGGTTGGCCAGATAACCCCTGACTGTTGTCAGTTTTTGGAGGATCTGGCAAAATGCATTGCCCCTGATGTTGGCCGTACCCGAGAGAAGCGAGAAAAGCAGCTGGGAACAGGTGTCAGCACTCGTTTGATTTTTATGCCTGACTTCAACAGAGACATCCGACTCCCGTTGGACGTTACCAAGGAAGCCATGGTTGCACATCATGCACGTGTTTTTACACTCCCACAATTTGCTGTTCTTGCTGCGGACTTGCTGAAAGCGAGGGGGGAACCCACGCCGATGTTATTTGGATGGTCTGGCTCAGTGTTACCTGTGGATCAGGCGTCAGCCCAAGATTGTTTCTTTGACCTCGTCGACTTCGCGAAGAGGCAGTGGAAGGAACAATACAATAACATCAAGGGTGAAGAGCACTCCTTCGTGGATGAAGCCACCGCATCAGATGTGGCTGAGTTTCCATTGGCAAGGTCCTCCAAGACGGGTACTGGCGAAGGGCGAGAAGGATACCGGCGTCACTTTGACCCGATCCAGAAGCCAGCCAAGGGCAAGGGCAAGGGTTATGGTCAGCAACAACGACCAATCTTTCAGCAGGCCATTGAGTGCTGGAAGTGCGGTCAGTATGGCCACAAATCCTTTGAATGTCGCAGTGGATGGAGCCGAGGGCAACAGTGGGGTTCATATGGATCTTACTCAAGCCGCTCGGGAGGGCAGGCCCAATGGCAAAGCTGGAATTGGAATCAGGGCTACTCTGGCCGAGGTTGGACTGCTGATCCTTGGGGGAGATCGACAGCATCGAGCTCATCGGCAGCTCCTCCGGAGCCAGTGCAGCCACCTCCAACGGCAACGCCTGTGCCTGACACAACACCATCTGCTGGCGATTCTGCCCAAGCTGCCTCTGGATCAACCCCTGCAGCGGAGCCTCCACGACAGGTACCTCGTGCACCAGTTGTGATTGCCGAGGAGTACTGCGAGATCAACGGCCAGCCACACTTCAAGCGCACCTACAATGATGGGACGGTAGAATTTGAATCTTGGTAGATGTTTCACATCTCATGCCATGATTTTATGCCTACCGGAAGGTTTGGCCGATTGGATGAAAGCTGACCTATGGTCATTCAGTTCAATCGAATTGCACATATTTCCAAAACTTGAAATTTCAACTTGATAAACTTTTCCAATTGCTTCAAAAAGAGTTTGACATCAGCATCCGATCCGTTGCGGTAGTTGCACGTGTACAGATGCCGTGTAGGTTAGCCTGATACAGTAGTTTCCGAACCAAAGGCAATTGAAAGGAATGGTAATGTTCCTATGCCTTGGCGGAAGCCAGGCCAACTTCACTTTTGTCTCTGTCAAACATGTGCCGTGCCTGGATTGAAAAGCAGATGCATCCGAACACCTTTTGCCTCATGCATTCGAGCTATGACCATTTTCGCATAACATTAGGTAGTTGTATGTACAGTGATGTCTGTGTTTGCCCGCTCTCAGGTCACCTCTGGCGGGCTGCTGCTTCCGGCCTCCGTTAATCTGCGGACGGCGGGGGGTGTTTAATATGAATACCCCTGTACATACTGTATTAATTCATCTACCTACGTTATGTTATGGCTCAAGAAAACAAGCGCGTATTGCTGTTCGTTTGTGGCGTGTTAGCCTGTAAAACAATATATATATATAAATATCTGAGATTCTGGTATATTCAAGACTATTCATGTAAAAATATGCAGAGTTGGTTGTGACCTCAGATGCAGAACGGCTAAGGATTACTCGGGAGCTTCTACCACTTTTGATGCATCCCGAAAGGCCAGAGAGGATTTGACGCAAAACAAGAATTTTATCGATATTTTATGATAGTTGATCAGTAATTTTTGAGTACAGCTTCACAAGATTTGTCATGCCAGCAACTTGCGGGGCCGTGTCCCTGTGACAGATCTTCAACGATGCTTTTCCGGATGGGTTTGCCTGGGAAGTTCTGGAGGTGCGAAGTTGGTAAGTTGTGTAGAAGTCTTGATGGTTCTGTTTCCAGAACTCGAAACACACAAGTTGGTGCGCTTTTAGCAATGGACCAACAGGGCCAACATGGCCAATTCCTCTTGTTTTTTTGTCACAACTGCATCCTTTCAGTTTGAATGACACGTTTCCTGATGTCCAGGTATACACAGGACCTCCAAACTTGCTCTTCAAATGGAGGCATTTTGGCAAGTTCTCTGGCACCTTCCAGGACAAGGCACCCACTGAAGTTTTTAGGCAGTTGACAAGAGCAAGAACTGGCAAGTCCAAGGGACATGGTCTCAGCGTGTCTAAGTGTGAACCGTGTCTAAGCCACAGCAATGTCACAATGTCACAATGTCAACATGGCCGGATTTTTTTCTGTCAGAATGGCAAGAAGCACAAAGGCAGTGGAGAGCTGGCCTCAGTTTGACGCACCCAGAAAAATACCATGTCACATCATGTTACCATGAACAGAATAGCGGCTATAGCGAAATTGCGCAATACTTAGTCAATACTTGCTAAACATTGCTAAACAATACTTGCTGAGTACTTGCTGAGTCCTTACTAAGTACGATTTCGCTTCAAATATTAGAGTGCAAGCGAGGCAAGTCCTCAAATCGGCCTGAACCACTGAGGAAATGTTGAACCTTGTTGGAATGTGCTTGGCAAAGGTGAACGAAAAACTGGAAATGGCAACTTGGATCATCTTGGATCTGCAACTGACCAGCAGAGGGAATTTTCTAGTTGTCCGATGTTGTTCCCGGGTTTGTGATTGCAAAGAATCTCGCAGATAGCCTTGTGCTCGACCGTGCACGAACATGAGGAAAGCTTGGATGTGTACTATAATCCCGAGGAGAGATCCAGACATACAAAAGACATCCCCAGCAAAAACCAAAAGTGCATGTTGTAGCTGATTTGCTGCCCTTCCCTTTCATTGGCGTGACGGACTAGCAGAGTCTAGTTGAGTCTACCAGAGTCTACCAGAGTCCACGGATGGGGGCAGTATGGTGAGGTTGAGATGGTTGAGTGATGGTGAGTGATGGTGAGCGTGCGTGTTGGGTTGTTGGCTTTGCACGGGATCAGCTCCACCTGTACCACAGGAGATGACTCGGCCTTTGACCACCAGTTTGGTAGATGCAACGCAGCGAGCCATCCAGGAGCATTTCTCGAGCTCACAGCAACTGATGGGACGACAGCTTTCGCCAAATCAACGACAGCTTTCTGGTCCCATCCACAGGTCATTGGGTATTCTACTCGACTGTACTTCAAAAACGAAGGAAATACTTTCGAACACAGACAGCACAAACAAGAGACAATCGGCCACCGTAGTTGCATTTGCTGGTGCTTGTGTCATTGCATGTGATGGTGGCCATGACGTGTAAAAAGATGACCTGCAACACAAACATGTTTCGTTCCTCCCATCATCTTGACTTCACTCGAAGGTAATTTTTGGCGTCCCAGCGCTTACAAAGCTTGCATGCAAACATGCACTTTCACGTGTAAGGCAAATTTGCCCGTCTCTCTTGTTGAAATCGCAATTTCCCTTCCTCAAGTTTTGCCCTGCCGTTGTGATATGTTGTGATACTATGATATACTATGGGGATGCCTCACCAGCATTCCAATGCCACACCTGTTGGAAACCTATTCTTCTTCGAGTTGCTTTTTATGAGTATATACAGATGTATATATGTATAGGCTATATATACAAGATAATACGTTGGTGCATATATATGATATATATATATGTATAATATGTATATCTATTATACATTTACGATGCTTGTTGGCCTCGATGAACTGCAAAAGCTTCCAGGATGAGGCAGCAGATTCCAAGGCGCCGAGCAAAACCAACAAACGAAGAAAGTCGGAGCTTACGGTTTTGTTTCGATAAGCATTGTCTGGTGGGAAGGTCTGCACTCAACTGCACCGGTCCCTCAACCTATCAAGCCTGGAAGGTAGAAACTCCACACTCATTCCGCAATTCGCCAATTTGCAGGGAAACACGGAGAGACTGTGTTGGTAAGCTGATGTGAATTTTGCGTAAATTTAGAATGCAGCCATGCAGTGCAGATGGGCATCGGTGGCTGCCGAAGTGGTGACTGTGGAGTGATGTGAGTGCTGAATGGACTGTCGATGCGCCGTCCGTCTGAAGCATCTCATGTTTTAAGTGAAAGTGGTTGTGCCCGCCGGTGACCAGGTACCTTCAAACAAGAACTCTATAAAGATTGCATGAACAGTTCCAATACTTTGACCATTCAATGTCTTTGAGCTCGATTTGATATTATTTTGGTTGTTTTGTGTTTCAAGCCCGGCTCGTCATAAAAAGCAGCAAAGTCTGCGGATGAGACCTCGGGTGCGGATCCTGTCGGGGAGCGTGAGACCGCCTAGGGCAGCTGCGCTTTGCTGCGCTTTGCTGCGCTTCACTTCGTGTTGTGGTGAGACCCTTCAGCTTTGGAGACAGTCGGAGACAGTATACGGTCCCTGTACATGTGGGAAAAAGCTGATACATTGTCTTACAGTTTGTCTTACATTTTCATACATTTTTAGACCATCACTACCGTGTCATGTTGTGTAACATGGCCTATGCTCGTAAACTCAATTGACCATTCGACCCAGTCGGCTTTGAGAGGTCCTTGCCACCTTCACAAGTGCACGCAGGTTGATGTGAACACTCAGAGTGCTCAGAGTGCTCGAGCAGCAAAAGGGATCGGAGTTTCGCCCATTTGGTGTCCCTGTGCACGGATTTCCACAGTCAAATCTGTGGGTTTGAATGTCGACTTCGGTCAATGAACAAAGTGACCTTGGTCAATGCATGGGATTGCTATTGTGGCTCCAATGCAAGTTTAGCTTAGAAAGGAACAGAACAGACCAGTCAGATCTGGTGTGAGACTGGGTTGCGTTCTTCATTTGGTTTAAGATCACACTCAATGCCATGAGCTGTACATGATAAATACGGAGTAAACCAGACAACCTGACAACGACCAGCAATCAGTGGCAATCAGCAAGATGCTCGGGACATGTTCTTCGCATCATGAGATGGTCGCCTACGCCCGCACCGCATCGTTGTGAAGCTTAGTTCAGCTCCCAGCTGCCACACAGCTTCCAGATGCTTCCAGATGCTTTCAGGATGTTTTCATTACATTTCAATACGTTGACAAATCTACCATTTCAATACGTCAGATTGTCGTCATATGCTGTGCACCTTGTACGACTAGGACACTCTAGTGAGGTCCTTTGACTGCCATGGGTGGTGGTGCGTCAACGTCAAAGCAGACAACTCAGAGGCCTCTGACAATGCACCAATCGTAGGGAATGATGATGCAAGCCGGGTTCAATATGGATCAACATGGGGTATCCTTTGGAGACAGATATGAGATGATGTGACGATGTGTGACTGACAGTGAGGTACGTGGTGAAAGACGATCCAAAGAATGGTGCAGAAAGTAAAGACAAGGCGGCGAAGCGTTGGAAAACATGCTTCACGGTGAATTCACGTCGGATGTTTCGCAGCGTCGGACAACAGTCTCCACCCGGCGCCTAGGATGATGACATTGCTGCAGTTTTGCCTCAAGAACTTGAGCAGCAAGCTTAGCAAGCCGTCGAATCTTCAAGGATGTCGAATTTATCAACAGGAATAGCATATACATCATATACAGATACATACAGATACATAATTAGGATTAATCAGGCATACATATATATATACATATACATATACTTGTATGTATGTATGTATGTAATGTATGTAATGTATGTAATCTATGTAATGTATGTAATGTATGTAATGTATGTAATGTATGTAATGTATGTAATGTATGTAATGTATGTAATGTATGTAATGTATGTAATGTATGTAAGGTATGTAAGGTATGTAAGGTATGTAAGGTATGTAAGGTATGTAATGTATGTAATGTATGTAATGTATGTAATGTATGTAATGTATGTAATGTATGTAATGTATGTAATGTATGTAATGTATGGTATGGTATGGTATGGTATGGTATGGTATGTATGTATGAATGTAATGTAATGTAATGTATTGTAATGTATTGGTATTGGTATTGGTATTGGTATTGGTATTGGTATGGTATGGTATGGTATGGTATGCATGTATGTCTATAAGATGTATATATATATATAGATATCGTGTACAACAATACATAAATTATGTTCACATTTGCATATACATATACCTAATGACTATATATATATATTATATATATATATATATCCATACCCTTCTTTTTACACATACTATTGCAGTATTTTACACATCAAGACATCTCAAGCACCTTTCATCATGAAACCCTACGCCTACCCCCCCAGAGCCTACCCCCCCAGAGGGCAAATCCTTATTAAGCTCTTAATAAGCTCTTAATAAGAGCTTAATAAGGATCGGACCTTAAGTGGGCCTTAATAAGGACCGATTAGTGGATCCTCACTTATTAAGCCCTTAATAAGGGTTTGGGATTTGCAATGTGTTTTTTCTGGGGCTGAAATGTCGAATCCTTATTAAAGGCTTATTAAGAAGAAGGCCTCCAAAAATATGGGATTGGAACTCGTTTGTCTTAATCAGTCACTGATCGGGAAATCACTCCGACCTCGCCTTTCACTAATTGGGAAATCACTCCAACCTTGTTTTTGTGAGTTTCAAGAAGGGAAGAACCATTGAAATATTTCACTTTTCATTCCAGGGACCAAGAACTTTGCAATTCATGCTGAATTTTGGTCTGTGCACTGTGTGGGAGGGGGGGCAGGGCGGACAGTTTTTGCTGGCGATGACATGGCTCAGGGCATGGTACCAATTGAACACAAGTCTCAGTCAAAACCAAAATTATTGCGCCAAAATTTCTCACCTGGCGTTTGCCCGTGATTTTGACACATTCAAAACAGGTGCCTATTTTTTCGACAACTAGTTTTGAGAGTTTCCAGTCTAGTAAGGTTCTATAAATCAAGGTTTTGTTTTTTTCTGAAAAATGTGAATTAAAATTTGTGAATCAAATTTCTGAAAAAGTTCTGAAAGATTTGTGAAACCAGAGATTTTCTGCTGGCAGCCATTCAAAAATGAATGAAAACTGGTTGTTTTGCTGTTGTTTTCAAAGTTTTCAGCTAGTTTTATACTTTTGGCAGTTCCCAGGTTTTGCTGCTATTTTCAAACTTTTTGCGTTGCTTTTCTCGAATTTGACGAATTTCAGAAAATTTTCAGAATTTTTTCACTTTTTTTCAGAAATTTATCAAAAATTTCTGAAAAAATATGAAATTTCTGAAAAAATTGTGAATCCAGAGATTTTCTACTGCCAGCCATTCAAAAATGGATGGAAAACTGGTTGTTTTGCTGCTGTTTTCAAATTGTTCAGCTAGTTTTTCATTACTTTTGGCAGTTCCCAGGTACCAAAAGTGGAGGAAAACTAGCTGTTTTTTGCGGTTATTTTCAAACTTTTTGCGTTCCTTTTCTCGTATTGTGACGAATTTCAGATTTTTTCAGAAATTTCTGAAAAAAAATCTGAAAAATTGAAATTTTCTGAAAAAAATGTGACTCCAGAGATTTTCTGCTGCCACCCATTCAAAAATGGATGAAAACTGGTTGTTTTGCTGCTGTTTTCAAAATGTTCAGCTAGTTTTTCATTACTTTTTGGCAGTTCCCAGGTACCAAAAGTTGCGGAAAACTAGCTGTTTTGCTGCTATTTTCAAACTTTTTGCGTTGCTTTTCTCGAATTTTGACGAATTTCAGACAATTTTCAGACATTTTTCAATTAAAAAAAAACTGAAAAAATCTAAATTTTCTGAAAAATTTGTGAGTCCAGAAATTTTCTTCTGCCAACCTTTCAAAAATGAATGAAAAAACTAGCAGTTTTGCTGCTGTTTTCAAATTGCTCAGCTAGTTTTTCATTACTTTTGGCAATTCCCAGGTACCAAAAGTTGCGGAAAACTAGGTGTTTCGCTGCTATTTTCAAACTTTTTGCGTTGCTTTTCTCGAATTGTGACGAATTTCAGATTTTTTTCAGTGAAAAAAAATCTAAATTTTCTGAAAAATTTGTGAATCCAGAATTTTTTTGCTGCCAGCCATTCAAAAATGGATGAAGGCTAACTGTCTTGCTGCTGTTTTCAATTTTTTCAGTTAGTTTTTCATTACTTTTGGCAGTTCCCAGGTACCAAAAAGTGGAAGAAAACTAGCGGTTTTGCTTTTTGCGTTGCTCAAATTTCATTTTTTTCAATTTTTTTTGAAAAAAAATTAAAAAAACTGAAAAAATTGAAATTTTCTGAAAAAATTGTGACTCCAGAAATTTTCTGCTGCAACCCATTCAAAAATGGATGAAAACTGGTTGTTTTGCTGCTGTTTTCAAAATGTTCAGCTAGTTTTTCGTTACTTTTTGGCAGTTCCCAGGTATCAAAAGTTGCGGAAAACTAGGTGTTTCGCTGCTATTTTCAAACTTTTTGCGTTGCTTTTCTCGAATTGTGACGAATTTCAGATTTTTTTTGAGAAATTTCTGAAAATTTTCTGAAAAAATCCGAAAATTTCTGAAAACTTTTCGAATCCAGTGATTTTCTGCTGCCAGCCATTCAAAAATGGATGAAAACTGGTTGTTTCCCTGCTGTTTTCAATTTTTTCAGCTAGTTTTTCATTACTTTTGGCAGTTCCCAGGTGGAAAACTAAATGTTTTGCTGCTATTTTCAAACTTTTTGCGTTTCTTTTCTCGAATTTTGACGAATTTCGGAAAATGTTCAGAAATGAGCTAATTAAAAAAAAAAAAAGAAAAAATTGAAAAAAAATAATTTTTCTGAAAAATTGTGACTCCAGAGATTTTCTGCTGCCAGCCATTCAAAAATGAATGAAAACTAGCTGTTTTGCTGCTGTTTTCAAAATGTTCAGCTAGTTTTTCATTACTTTTTGGCAGTTCCCAGGTACCAAAAGTTGCGGAAAACTAGCTGTTTTGCTGCTATTTTCAAACTTTTTGCGTTGCTTTTCTCGAATTTTGACGAATTTCAGACAATTTTCAGACATTTTTCAATTTAAAAAAAAAAAGCTGAAAAAATCTAAATTTTCTGAAAAATTTGTGAATCAAGAAATTTTCTTCTGCCAACCTTTCAAAAATGAATGAAAACTAGCTGTTTTGCTGCTGTTTTCAAATTGTTCCGCTAGTTTTTCATTACTTTTGGCAGTTCCCAGGTACCAAAAGTTGCGGAAAACTAGGTGTTTCGCTGCTATTTTCAAACTTTTTGCGGAATAGCATCCAAAATGCGATGTGACAACAGAACGCATGAATGTGCATAGATTTGTCTTTGGAGTGGGATTGTGGTTCAAGACCAAATTTTTCAGAGCGCAGGGTCAATGGACACCCCCAAGTGAAGATCATTGAAAGGGACCAAGCTGACCAAACAGGGAAAAGCACCGTGGCCAGACCAAGCCTCATCTTTGAGTATACCATGACAGTCGGGCTTAAGCAGTGCACTGGTCGACCATTGCAGACCTATTTGAGCTTCTCAATTCTCAATTGCTGATTCCTGGTCGGGCATGTACACGGTCATACAAGTTGACTGTGTTGATCGCAACCTTTTCAGGTGGGACAAAAGTAGAGTTTCAGTCGTCGGTCATTGCTTGGTTGGTGTAATTCCCTTTGCCGTTGCCTCAGCTGTCCCATTCCTCCCCTTTCTTTAGTTGCATGTTGACGGGACTCATCGTCCTCTAACATTTAGTGGCCGCCGTCTTCGGGCATCACTAGGTTCGTTTTCACCAGTTGCCATTACAACAGCCCTTGTTTAAGGGCCGAAACACCTAGATTCACACCTGACAAATCTCGGAAGGAAGCTGTTGATCCCACGACGGAGTGTTTACTCCATGTTCTCCGAACAGTTTTTTGTTTCAAATGGCTGCTCAGCCCTTAGACGCAGTGTGGGAAACGCTGCGACGGGCCAACGTGCCTCACCTGGCCGTCACGTTTGTCAACCATGGGATCAGATCTGTCGATGACGTCGTGAGACGCACGCCTGAGTTGTTAGCGGCTGGAGTTTCCCAAAGTGACATAGAGGCATTTCTGGCTGCCCGCGGTGGTTTGGACAATCCGGATGCACCTCAGGGCCGTGCTGACCATCCAATTTGTAGGGATTTTTCCACGAGAGCCTCGTTCACTCTTGCTCTCGCTGCAGCCTCCCCCAACAACAGAAAGAGGGCGCTTGATGCATTGCAAGCAGATGTGCTTTCACGAAGCTCCCAGCCTGCACAAGAATCGAGGATTCGCACATACCGGGCACTTTGCGCGGCATGGGATGTGGTGGCCTTCCCATTGACTATTGAGTCAGTGCGTTGCACAGGCGCTAGCCTGAAAGCAGGGCATTATCGCAGTGCCCAGTTGTACTACCAAGCAGCAATGGGGTATCAGATGAGGCAGCTTGGCCTCCAGGTGGATCCGCTGGTGCGCGGCACGATCAAAGAGGTTGTCAGATCAGTCAAACGAGGCTTGGGACCAGCACGTCTCAAGGAAGCCTTTGATGTCTGGCGTCTGCAACCCCTGACCTTTTCTGATGGCGACGATCCTTTCGATTTGAACGATGTTGCGCACTGTGTTGACATGGTCATCATT